TACACACACACACACATATATATATATATATATATATATATATATATACACATATATACACACACACACACACACACACACACACACACACACACAGGAATATTTGTTTTTCAGGTGAAATTTACGGAAAATGTAGAACTACACTACTACGGGCCAAACATTATACATGAAGGTATCCAATATTCACTTGAGGGCTTTGAGTGTCTCCTCCAGCCCACCTTTCTTCGGCCAGTGCCTTTGTCTCTTATCACAGTGTGCCACACGTGAAGCATTTCAAGGAATCTTCCTACAAGTAACTCCTGCTCGAAAAAAGGACACTCAACATTGCAACATTGCCACTACATTGCACTCACCTGTGTGCTCTCAGGGACTCCATCCAACACTTGATTATTGCTGCCATCAAATGATTCTCACACATATTCTTCTTTTGCCAATTAAAGACTTTGAACTTTTGTGGTGACGAATGGTGCTTTTGGGTCAAAACTGACACCGTGACACATGATTTATTTACCTCTTTTTATTGGTTAGGTCATCCAGCTACCTTACCTCCAAATATTTAAATTAAAATATTCCAATTTCATAAATATTGTTTTCAAAGACAAAAGTAAAACTAAATGCAAGCCATTCACACAAAAGGAGTTGGGAAGAAAAGAAAAGAAAAGTTACCACACTATAAGCAACTAAATATATGAATCTTTGATGGACAGGTGCAACATGGGGCACAAAAAAACAAAAGACACTGGCACACTTTTTTGATTTATCCTGGTGAGCAGGTAGTCCATCCTTCTGTGGTGTTTTCAATGGGGTTCCCAAGCCTTTCTCCAGAGGCCAAGCGAGGGCTATGATTAGATGTCAGCAGGTAAGGTCGGCTCACTATCATGGCTGCTTCTTTTACAAGCCGAAGGTGTTTTCGCCACTGTAAGCCACATATAAAAAGCCATCTTCGTCTTTCTCCTTTTCATACAGCTGTCCCATTGTGATGCTGAAACATGAAATGGACACATTTTCAATATCGCCAGCTCCTCTGCTACATACGACGGCTGTTCATTTTAACAGTTGCAATTACCAACTAAGGTTCTTCGAGTTGGGAATAAATAAACAAAGAGATGAATTCAAATAAGGTAATTAGAGTTAAAAAATATATAAAATAAAATTGAACACATTATTGTGAACGGATTTAAAAAAATAAAAATAAAACAAAACTGCTTAAAAAAAAAGAAAACTAACTGAATCTTCATCTTGCATTTCTAAAACTTAATGAAACATACTATATTAATAGCAAAAATGTCCATTTTCATCTTTGTCAGTTAACATCATACATGAGCCTTCAGAGTTCACTTTTAATGTATTTGTGTCGATATTGCTGAAAGTCATTTCAGAGGAAGGAAAATCCATCAGTTGCTTGAGATTTATAGTTTAGTTTAGTTTTTATTTTGCACTTGACAAATAATGTTAAAAAAACTAAAGCTAATACTAAAAGTAAAACTAAACTAAAAGGAAGCATTAAAATGTGTTTTAAACTGACAAACCTGTTGTAAAGACCAATTAAAACAAACTGAATTTCAAAAATAAAGTCAAAACAATGTAAAAACTAACTATAATGAAATTCCTCCAACTCATATAGAGGCTGAATTTTGATCTTCAGTTTGGATAAACTCCACCTGTAGCGACTCTGTTAACGGTCTTGGAGAAATTACTTTAATTTAATATTTGATTGATTTTGGCTATACAAATGTTATTTTGCCCCTTCTACCTCTCTAATGTTGTTTCTATCTCACAATAAAGTTCATATATTGTTCTCAGATGCATGTTCACAAGTGGAGGCGAACCATCTCGCCCCACGGCTGCGCCGTGCGAGAGTCACCTGTGACTCCTTGTTGTGCCAAGGTAGTACTGTGTGATGACACATTATGTAGCATTATTTAAAAACATCCGTAAAAATGTCCGTCATGCCATGCAGCCCTATAGTTTTTGTAATGTTATTTCGATGTGTGGGATAGTTATTTGTCAGCAGCTTTGAAGGCTCAGAGGAGTGAGCAAGCTGTCATGAGTGTCATTAACAATGGGTTAACGTTTTACATTCCATGTACATTAAATGCAACCATTAACCTAAAGTAAAATTTAGGTTATTCTTGGTTTGAGTGGTTATGCCTCGAGACTGGAGCGGGACAGAAGGATGATGTCGCAACGTCGCTGCTCAATGAACGTTGTCACAAGTGCAATCAATAAATATGCCAGGGGAAACAAAAGCAATCTTTAAAAGAAAAAAAACACAGAGCAAATGTGCATCTCACCTCACAGAGGTGCTTTTGGCAGCCTAACTGGATGTTCCAGCTTTGTTGCTCTACATGAGTTTTCTTTTACACTCAATAATTGTTGACATGTTTCCATCCATCCATCCATCCATTTTCAACAGCGCTTATCGTGAACAGGGTCACGGGGGGTGCTGGAGCCTATCCCAGATGACTTCGGGTGGAGTTGATATGTTTAATAGCATAATAGTGATTTGTTCAAATCATTTCTTTTTCTCTAAATTACTGTTTTTTGGGAGTAAAAAAAAACATTAAATTAATGTTGCAATTGCAAGACGAGTACATTTCTTAAAAATAAACTAAATTCGAACATTTTTTGTTTTGGTGTGTTTTCTAAAAAAAAAAAAAAAAAAAAAAAAAGAAAGAAAGAAAAAAAAAGTACCGATAAGAACACCAGATCAATACTCTGTATTGTTAAGAGTAGAAATATCGATAAAATCTGATTGATATCCATTCCTAACTATAACCCTGCTACATGCAGATGACACTGTTAAAATAGGGATTCAATTGTGAAAAGAATGTGTAGAAATAAAGAGTTCTTATGAATCCCTAATTTCTAAAAATCTTGCTTGACTTTGTGTTCATGCTGTCCCTAATTTGCCAACTTCCCGGATGTGACTGTTGTATAACTGACTTTTAAATTGACTTTTGGGGCACAAATTATGGTCCTCAACAGTGCCACTAAGCAACAAGGAATGGCGCAAATGTTCCCTGCCATGTTTTTCAAGTGAAGTTGTTTCTGTGAAAAGTAGCCAAAATGTATTAACCAACCATACAGCTCCTTTCAAATTTGACTCGTTCTCAAGAGTCATACCTGAGAAGAAACAGTGTAAAGAAGTTAGTGACATCTAACGGTAAGTAAGGATATTGCAACAGCTAGAACTGGGTTGCTTTCGGTGCAACACAGTGTACCAGTCTGCGATTGGCTGGCAACCAGTTCAGGGTGTCCTCCGTCTACTGTCCGAAGACAGCTAGGATAGGCTCCAGCACCCCCCGCGACCCTTGTGAGGATAAAGTGGATCGGAAAATGGATAGAATAACGGATGGACAGTGTACCAGTGAAGCAATCTCGGGGATAAAGGTCATGTTAATTTTAAGGAAGCTGTAGAAAAAAATCCCACTTTATATGCTGTTTTTTTAAAACAAAAAAAAAAAGCCATTTTTGTTGATAGAAGAGTCATTAATCCTTAATCACTGTATCTCAGATGACACCTACAATTTCTTTTTTACAGCAGACTAGAAATAAATCTCACTCACGCATCATAAACAGTTGAGTTCAAATCTGATGCATAAACAGAACAAGTTGGGTCCAACATACAAGATCTGTCAAATATTGTTGTTCTGACCTGGACTGGGGGACTGTCTTGTCCACAAACAGGAAGATGGCCTTCTCAGAGGGCAGCTGGATGCGTTTCCTGATGATCCACATGAACTGAGCCACTGTGATGTCAGAGGGGACCAGGTACTTCCTCTTGTCAATGTCCACTATCTGGGACCCAGACACTTTCTCCACAATCACCTATTGCAGTGCGCAGTTGGCAAAGAGTCCGTGTTAAAAAAAAACAAACAAAAAAACAAGGCTCATAAAGAAAAAAAAACAGTTCAGAAAGATTTCACTTACTGGGACCCTGTCAGGGTACTTGTTGCGGATTTTGGCAGATTCTATGCATCGATGTTCTGCAGCATAACAAGTAATATTTGCATCATTTTTAGAACTAAAGACAACTCGAAAAACAGCTCATGTTTGGTGAAATCAAGTTTAGACTATACTTAGCCATTGATTCAACAGACTCATGCATTTTTAACACATTTCCATGGTTGCGGTGAAGGGAAGCAGTCTTGCTTTGTACTTCGTAATAACATGGGTAAAAAGGGACACACAATTATATGTCTTCTGGCAGCTAACAGCAACAACTATGTGTTGAAAATGTAGTGTACTGTACCGTACTTTTTTTACGATAGCACGGCTTTCCACTATGTCGTCTTCATCCAGCTAATTTAAAATAGCAGCATCCTATTCAATTATTAACAACATGGCTGTGCTCTCAAGAAATTATTGTTTGTTGTTGTGATAGATGTAATGGTGTAAATGGAACTCTCTGTTGAGTATGCAAGTCGGCTTTCTTTTCGGCCACCGATCAGAGGCAATTGTCATATAATTTAACAGTGATAGGGAACTATGTACGTCACTTTCATCAAACAGAAGTTGTTATGCAAATTTCTAAAGGCCACCCCCTGTAGGCCTCTTCAGGATCTGCCAAAACAATCGTCTCCTCCATGCTTAAAACGCTGCACTACAATTTCGAGTGGATGCCCACGGCTGACTGTTTTGGTCTATTCAAAGGCGAATCGAATATTTGATAAGCATTTGTCAATGGCGCAGAATCGAAGGCTTGAGAGTCGAGCGGCTCTTCGTGTCACCACCATTAGCCCAATAAGTGCAGTACTGAAATCGTCCTGTGTGTATGAACAAAGGCACGACGCTTTCGTCGCAAATACCTGCTCACAACATCATCATCCATTGGATAAAGTATAACTATATATACGATTTTTTTTGCAGCAGTATTCAAGGCGTCGGTCGTATTGAAGGTGTTAGCTAAAACCACGAAGCCTCCCAAGATAGTCAAGCCATTCGAGGACAAGGCCATCCGTCCATTACAACGGTTTATGAAATGTCACCCGACATAACATACCATTTGTACACTCTATGGAATGTATTTTCAATAGTCCATCTGAATCGTTTTTTAAATAATATTCTCGTGCCTTTGTCATATGAACGCCATCTCCCCTCCCTTACCCAGAGAATGATCCTCTTTGAACATCCATTTCATGGTTGCCGTTTTCGGGCTCTCTCGGATCGGTACAGATGATTACAAGAGTCACTCGAGGTTAGGTCTGAGAATATGCTATCGTTCAGTATTGTTTAAATTGCGATTCGAAATAGACGTAAAGCAGGTCCTCAGTCGTCTCTTTTAAGTCAACACTTCAGCAAAACAACAAACAAGCACCGCCCCCACGCTGTCAGCCAACCGGGAGCCGCCTTTGGGATGATGTCATTGCTGGATTATTTGATTCGGCTGTACTTCTTGGAGGACGGTAGCAAATGGGCGAATATCGCAAGTGTAGTCACCAGACAATGAAGTTAAAATGCGCATGTTTTCCCATTGTAGTTACACTTTATATTTATCTTCACATGTTTGTAATGCAACAAAATACGTTTGACATGAAATACATTTGTCATCAATCCCTACCTCTTTGGCCCCAAGCAATTTTCTTACGTCATCATTCTGTAGACGTCAAAAACCCCTCTGATGATTTATTACAGTTATTGTGATTTGTTACAAGTACAGTATAAAAATAATGTACCGGGTATGTATAAATAAAAGTATGAACCACTATCACCGCCACAGCTACATTGAATGTACTGTATTTGTATTTTCGCATTGTTATTGAGTACGTTTACCCGCAAAGCAACAGCCAAACGGCCAACCACTGTTGGCAATCTCACAATGGAATCGATTTAGTAACAACACTGTAACTTTCAAACCTGAACCTTTTCGCATTTTCTACTTACAAAAAAAATGAAAATGTATTGTTGGAGCCAGTGGAAGAAAGCACAAAGCACCAATAGTAGGACAGGAGAAGGAAGGGTAAATGTGTCTGGCAGTTTTAGGTGGAAGATGCATTCAGATCCATTAAACCACAGGTGTCAAACTGAAGTCCCTAGGTCTACATATGGTCGTCCATGCCATTTGCAGGAGTTTGCCCCCAAATAAATAAACAATCATACAAAACAAGATGCAGAGGCAATTATTTTGTATTGTAACAATGGGGAAACTGCACACTTGCCAGCATATATACGAAAGTTCAAGTCAACTTTATTGTCAAATGTGCTACATGTGCAACATACAGCACAAATGAAATTTCATTCCTCTCAACCACAGGAGAGAGAGGAGCCGCTGCGGGTGCCCACGCGGCCATCAAAAGAACAGTTGACATAAAATGACAAAATAATACGACACTGTCTGTGTCTTATGTGTTATAAGACAGACAGTTGTCCAATCTTAACCACTTACACTTTGTTGTTTGAAGCAGTTATTGATGAAAGAGGAGCAAAGCAAAGTGTCCTTTCACCAGTAGATCAAAGACGTCATGCTGAAAATGTGCACACGTCTGCTACAAGCTAAGTTTAAAAGCAACAAGAAGCTATAGCGTCCATTGACGAAAAAGAGAGATTGGCTCACATCTCCTGTGCCATGTAAATCCACTTCAATTCCAAGCCGCGACTCCCAGTTCCACACAGGCATCGGCGCTCTGCGCTGACGCTCCTTACCTCTCATCGTCGGCTCCACAAGCCATCCATCCAGCCGCAGACTGTCCAACAGCACCGACATTCCCGCTGAACAAAACGGGGCTGTGAAAAATGTTGCCCATTACAGGCACAAAAAACACAAGCGCTCCGGGGCTGTCCAGCAACGACAGTCAGATGGCGCCGACATTCCTCCCAATCAAAATCAGTGCTGGTACACAAGTGATGCCGAGAAGGCGCAACCACCAAGCGCAGATTCTTCTTCTTTGACGAATGTCGTGGCCAAAAATGCTGAAAACAATCCACATCAGGTCCACACAACGAAACAACAACACCATATAACAAAACAACACAAAAACAACAAAAAACAACAAAAAAAGCAAGGCTCTTGAAGAGCACTTGCCGATGGTTGCCTACTCGGGCGCCATCTTGAACAAAAAGCATGCTTTGTAAATTGGTGTAAAAAAATATATGTTTACTTGGGCGGCACGGTGATGGACTGGCTAGCACATCTGCCTCACAGTGCAGAGGTGCAGGGTTTGATTCCGGCTCCCGCTATCCTGTGTGGAGTTTGTACAGTATGTTTTCTCCAGGGACTCAGATTTCCTCCCACATTCCGAAAACATGCAAGTCCCTAAATTGTCCCTAGGTGGGATTGTTACTTCGGATGTTTGTTTCTTACTGTATATGTGTGCCCTGCGATTGTCTGCCAACCAGTTCAGGGTGAACCCTGCCTAATGCCAGAAGACAGCAGGGAAAGTCTCCAGCACGCCCGTGACCCTCGTAAGGATAAACAGATGAGAAAATGGATGGATGGATGTTTACTTGCACGTATGGTGTGGATAAAGCACTATAGAAGTGCACTCCATTTGTTTCTGCACTCATTGGTATGAATGTAGGCTGTTGAGGGTAGGCCTGGTGATTGACGGCTGTGACCTCAGCAAAGTATAGGAACTTTCCAGCTTCTACAGTATGCGGGCTGAAGTCTGTCAGTCAATGTGTGGAGTGACTGGGCATGAGTTGTGGCCGGGAGCAGCCCTTGAATGAATGTGCACTCTGTTACCACTGATGGGAATGAAGTGTTTAAAGAACATCAGTGATTGAGTCATCTTTAACCACATTATGAGGATGTTACATTATTATGGGGGTATTATGAGGTTCAGGGACAAGTGTGAATTGTTTCAAGCTGTAGCCACAAAACCTGTTTGGGAACAATTACAGTGCAGCTCAGCTTCTGTCATCATGGCCATCCTGTTTTTTTTTTAACTACAGCAATACAGAAACAACTTCAGACACCATTTAAACAATACAAATTTAGATTTTTTATTAAATATTAATTAGACTGTTCAAACTTATGGTTTCAGCTATATCCTTCATTTCCTTAAAAGATGACAAACAATTATTATTACTGCACTTTCCTCCCACAAAATAAGTTGATGTTACATTCAAAATTATGTTATTAACTATGTTCTTGTTTAAACTATTTTTTAAACATTTTGTTAGACCAAATATGAATCAGATTTCAAAATCTATGTAATTATATATAAAAACATTTTACATGACACATATCACAGACATACAAATGTACAAATGAATCGAGTAAAAAATGTGAAATACATACAGTATGTGTGTGTGTGTGTGTGTGTGTGTGTGTGTGTGTGTGTGTGTGTGTGTGTGTGTATATA